GATCGCCAATTTAAAACATTTACACAAGTGGATACCACAAAATAAAAAAACAATGCAAGAACTCCAAAAGAAAAGCAAAAGGGGTACACACACAAAAAAAACTATATAAAAAAAAAAAAAAAAAAAAACTTTGCGTGACGCAGTTTTACCTACGTCACGCAAAGTTTTTTTTTTTTTTTTTTTTTTGCCCTTTTGCTTATGAGTACAAAATAAATAAATTAAAATCTACTTAGTAAGTATATATACCATTGAACTTGATGGGAAACGCATTGTACGAAATTAGTTTCAACAATCGAACCGTCAAACTTGTTTGTATATACTTTGAGATCGCATACGCCAAAAATCTCAAAAAGCAAACATTCAGAGATCAAGTAACGGGAAAAAACTTTTTGACGGTTATAAACGAAAAATCACAATTTAACGGTTATTTTAACTCCGATTTTGATGATTTTTTACAGCCACACTGTAATATCCCACATCGCCTAGGGGAGTGATCCTTAAATGTATATTCCCATCCCTACCTAGCACGAGGCCTTTTGGGAGCTCACTGGCTTCGGGTTCTGTAGGAACTTCGAAGTTAAGCGAGAAGGGGGCTAGAGCAATCCCATGATGAGTGACCCACTGGGAAGTTGCTCGTGAGTTCCCAAAAACAAAACCGTGAGGGAATGGTAAGCCCAAAGCGGACAATATCGTGCTACGATGGTGGAGCGGGCCTGGGAAGTGATCCGCCCCGGGCCGGGATGTGACAATTTGGTATCAGAGCCTAACCCTGGTCGCGTGTGTGCCGACAAGGACATGGCGGGCCCTTAAGGGGGGTGGATTGTAACATCCCACATCACCCAGGGAAGTGATCCTTAAATGTATATTCTCATCCCTACCTAGCACGAGACCTTTTGGGAGCTCACTGGCTTCGGGTTCCGTAAATGTACAATATCGTGAGTTCCCAAAAACAAAACCGTGAGGGAATGGTAAGCCCAAAACGGACAATATCGTGCTACGGTGGTGGAGCGGGCCTGGAAAGTGATCCGCCCCAAGCCGGGATGTGACACACACTCCTTGACCCTATATGAATACAACGAACTGATTCGATCATCAATTTAAAATATTTACACAAGTGGATACCACAAAATCTTATGTTATACTTGATGAAAGTATTAATAAACTCTAAGTGTTAGGGAATCTATCGTTTTGATGGGATACGCATTATACGAAAACAAAACTTTTTTACGGTTATAAACGGAAAATCACAATTTAACGGTTATTTTAACTCCGATTTTGATGATTTTTTATAGCTACACTCCTTGACCCTATATGAATACAACGAACTAACTTGATCGTCAATTTAAAATATTTACACAAGTGGATACCACAAAATCTTATGTTATACTTGAACTAATTGTTAGGGAATCTATCATTTTGATGAGATACGCATTGTACAAAACTAATTTCAACGACTGTACCGTTAAACTTGTTTGTATATACTTCAAGATTGTATACGCCAAAAATCACAAAAAACTAATAATTAGATATCAAGTAACGGGACAAACCTTTTCGACGGCTATAGACGAAAAATCACGATTTAACGGTTGTTTTAACCCTGATTTTGATGATTTTTTACAGCTACACTTTTTAACCTTATATGAATACAATGAATTAATTCGATCGTTAATTTAAAACATTTACACAAGTGGATACCACAAAACAAAAAGGCAATGCAAAAACCCCAAAAGAAAAGCCAAAGGGCAAAAAAAAAAAAACTTTGCGCGACGTAGGTAGAACTGTGTCGCGCAAAGATGTTTTGCGCGACGCAGTTGTACCTACGTCGCGCAAAGATTTCTTTATTTATTTTTTTTTTTTGCCCTTTTGCTTATGAGTACAAAATAAATAAATTAAAATAAAATCTACTTAGTAAATATATATACCATTTAACTTGATGGGAAACGCATTGTACCAAATTATTTTCAACGATCTAACCGTCAAACTTGTTTGTATATACTTCGATATCGCATTTGCCAAAAATCTCAAAAAACAAACATTCAGAGATCAAGTAACAGGACAAAACTTTTCGACGGTTATAAACGAAAAATCACGATTTAACGGTTGTTTTAACTCCGATTTTGATGATTTTTTACAGCTACACTCCTTGACCCTATATGAATACAACGAACTAATTCAATCATCAATTTAAAATATTTACACAAGTGGATACCACAAAATCTTATGTTATACTTGATGAAAGTATTAATAAACTCTAAGTGTTAGGGAATCTATCGTTTTGATGGGATACGCATTGTACGAAACTAATTTCAACGATCGAACCATCAAACTTATTTGTATATACTTCGAGATCACATATGCCAAAAATTGCAAAAAACAAAAATTCAGATATTAAGTAACAGGACAAACCTTTTCGACGGCTATAAACGAAAAATCACAATTTAATGGTTGTTTTAACTTTGATTTTGATGATTTTTTACAGCTACACTCTTTAACCCTACATGAATACAATGAACTAATTCGATCGTCAATTTAAAACATTTACACAAGTGGATACCACAAAAGAAAAAGGCAATGCAAAAATCCCAAAAGAAAAGCAAAAGGGCAAATAAAAAAACTTTGCACGACGTAGGTGCAACTGTGTCGCTCAAAGTTAGGGAAAAAGTAGTAAAGCATTCCTGGTTTGGCACCAAAATCTTGCGTGACGCACAAAACATCGCGCAAACGGCCTTTGCGCAACAGCACTTTGTGCGACGCAAGCTGACGTCGCGCAAAGGTGTTTTGCGTGACGCAAGTGTACCTACGTCCCGCAAAGCGTCTTTGCGCGGCGTAACCAGCCTGCGTCGCGCAAAGTGCCCTTGCGCAAAGGCCATTTGCACGACGTCTTTTTTTTTGCATCTCGCAAACATACTTTGCACGACGAAATTTACTCCGTCACGCAAGCTGTCGTTCACGCAAGCTGTCGTCATGCAAACATGTTTTATTTGAGCTTTTTGGTGTCCAAGATTGTATCTTTTGGGTCCAACTTCTGGAAATATGTTCAAGACATCTTAAGCTTCAAAATAAGCTATCTTGGGCCTGTTTTGGAGCTATTTTGAGCCAAAAATGTGGCTGATCAATTTGATGGCAGATTCTCATTTGTTGACTAGGACATTGTTTCCTAGTTTCTCTTAATTTATTTTGTTTTCTAGTTTTATTTTAAGACCTTTTCTAGGAAGGATTTAGATTGTAGTACAATAAATAAAGGTGGTTGGCCTTAGGAATTCTTTGCACACAATTTGAGAAGATTACCGAAGGCTCTGGTGAATTGAAGACTTTATTCTGCAAGATGTTTTCGCTCTTTTTCTATTTCAAAAAAATTCCTTTGATTTCAATTATGCATATGTGTAACTAACTTTCAGGGCAAGACCATGAGCCTTAGCATGAATATGTAGTTTTTATTTAATTGCTTATGATATTATGCATGCATACTTTGAATTATTAATCACTATGTTTATACTGTCTTTATATCTTAATGATTAGCTACCATTAAGATGTTTAGATAAGTAATCGGATATTTGGATGCAATTAATTCGGTTGGAATATCACCGGAGGTTTGAGTAGGGCTTCTTGTAATTGGTAATTGTAATTTCACTTAAGGCGAATATCTCTTAAGGGTTGTATGGTTTTTCAAAGGGTTTTTACAAAACTTAATGAGCCTTGCATGTTTACATTTGATATGAATATCACAGGCGGATTGTATGCTAGATATATGTTCTTACTTGAATATCACAAGGAAGATATGCATAAGGAAAACCTAACCTTCAAAGTTGCATGTGTAATTCATAAGTAATTGGTAAAATTACATAGGATTGTTAAGGTGACGGCAAAACTCTAGTGCTTTTACAATTTGATCTTTCAAAACCGTTTCCTTTCAAATTGTTTTCTTTAAAATTGGTCTCTTGCTGATTTCTTTAATTAGTTTATTTGAAATAAGTTTTTAATATTTTAAAATTCAAAATCAACTTTTTCCAAACTTTGTTTCAAGTAATTAATTAAGATTTGGTTTTGCATGAATTGTTTTAAATAATCCATGTGAGAATGACCTTGCATAAGCATTCTTACTACAACCACATTGTTCTCTTGCAAGTATTGTGTGTCATTTTAACCCTCTTTTGTAGGGACTAAAAATCTTATCAGTTACCAAGCACCTCATCTCTATTAATGTTTTCTTTTATTTTTCTATCAGTAAGGCTATTCCGAGGTGTTAATTATATATATATATATATATAGCTTAAAAAAAAAAATAGGGACAACTGGTGGCAATATATATATCATAGTTAGACATCTTAAGTATTTATAGTTTTCTTTTCAGAAAATAGATCATTTATGATTTGAATAAGTTTTAGAACGATAATATTTGAATAGAGTCTTAAAAATTATACAGTTGGGATTTATTGAGCTAGTATCCCTCTCTGCACGTACGGGAATGGGCTTGCATACATGCTACACGCATAGACACTGGAAAGGAAGTGATCAAATGAGGACTTGAAGGTCACTCTTCCCACGAAATGATCTGGTGTGTCGATATAATTTAGAAATAATTTAGTCATCTTTCTGTAATTAACCAAATAAATCAATATTATATGTATATAAGAACAAGAAGTGGATGGTGTTCACAGGTGTGCCTCCAAAGGCAATTGGTCATCTTGTGATCCAAATAACCAAAAATAATTAATCATACATTAAAATAACAAATATTTAACATGTACTCAAGACCTCCCAAATTTGGTGTGGAATCTCGAGCACTAGCAGTTAAATTCTATGCCAGCCATGCTTCACATGCTGCTTTCACTTTGTGAATATATACTTAGTTAATTTGTTAGTAATTGTTATGTCCAATTAATATATAAGTTCAATAGTACGATCATTCCAATTTGCACTCTATAAATACCACATTGACAATCGTCATTATCACAACGCAAAAAATACTACATATCTAGTCAAGATATATAGAGAGAGAGATGAATTCCAAAAGATCTTCAACCCTTGCTTTAGTCCTCTCTATCAACCTTCTCTTTTGTGTCCTTGCAAGTGGCTGTTACACTTGTTCTCAGCAGCCTCATCAGCCAATCAGAAACCCTAGACCAAACCCAATTCCAAGTGCTTCCCCGAAGAGCTGCCCCAGAGATAGCCTAAAGTTGGGGGTTTGTGCCAAGTTGCTCAATGGGGCAGTTGGGGCAGTTGTTGGGAACCCACCAGATCACCCTTGTTGTGCTTTGCTTGAAGGTCTTGTTGACCTTGAAGTTGCTGTGTGCCTCTGCACTGCCATTAAAGCCAACATTCTTGGTATCAACCTTAACATCCCCATTGCTTTGAGCTTGGTGATTGATGGTTGTGCAAAGAATGTCCCCGAGGGCTTCAAATGTGCATAAGCAACTATATCATGTATCCTATTTGTATTTCTCGTATGCGAGGCAAAACTTGCTAGGTTGATTTCTTTCTCGTGTTTGGTTAACTAGACGATTTTTTTTTCCCTCTGCCAAGTGTTCAATATCTCTTACATTGAGATTATAATTCGAATTTTAATTCCCTAAGGCAGTTTGAAGCTTACTAAATTGGACTTCAATGTGTACTATATATGCTTTATATATTTAACGTTTTCTCTGTATACATACACGCACCATGTGTGTATAAAATATGTGTATACGCACACAAAAAAGTTAGAAGATAATAAGTTGATAACTGATGCACGGGAGCTCTCTTACCTAAGCTGAATGGAAAGCTCGATCACTTTCTTTTTAAGAGGGATTGAATATGCCAACCGCATGGTAAAAATGAATCTCTAGATTTAACCAATTGTTCGGTTAGATAGGTCGTCTTTGGTGTGTGAATTGATTAATTTAAAGATTAGTAATTTTTTGTTAAGAACTGGCAATAAGATATAATTGTTCCACATTGATCGAAAATATGCTTTTCTATAATGAGTAAATTAGGTGATAGCTGCCCCTTAATTAGTACCGATATTTTGTGAAATAAAACCTACACTTGCTCCACTAATTTATGAGCGGGTAGCAAACAAAATCCCACGCTTGGAGGATCCACAAGGTCTAACACAACCCCATATTGAGAGAGCAATTTACATGACCTAATACACTATCATATGACGTTCTGTGCCAATAAAATAAGGACATGTGCATGAAAACTTACATACGTAGTTATTTCTTTGGCATGAGCCATATAAGCGAGCTGGGATATCTACATATGGACATCAATGTATAAATGACGGACCACTAAACTAATGACACATTGACATCAACTGTTCTGTGGAAACATAGTGTACAGTGATGTCTTTCTTCTGTACTCTCTATCCAACAAAATGATAAAGTCTACATCCAAGTGTTTAATCCTAGAATGGAACACTGAATTTGAACTTAAAGTCATAGCAGAAAGGTTGTCCCAATGCAGAGACGAAGGAGAAGGTAAAAACTCATTCAAATTCTTTAAAACAAACCTAATCCAACAAACATCAGTTGTACGGTGTGCCCAAGCCTTATACCCTACTCCAATGGAACTCCTAGATATATAAGATTGCTTCTTTGACTGCCAAGAAATAGGAATGTCTCCAAGAAACACAACATACCTAGTGATGGACTTCTAGTTTTTATGTTTGCTGCCCAATCGTCATTTGAAAATGCTGAAAATATGAATTCCAGAAGAAGATGTATAGGTAAGACCACAATTCGAAGTGCGTTGCAAATATCTTAAGATCCTTTTAACAAGAAAGAAGTGTACATCAGTATGCTTAATCATATATTGACAAAAGACATTGACTAAGTGAATATCAGGCCTTGTGAATGTTTGGTACTGAAGTGCTTCTACCAAGCTTCTGTACAAAGTAGGATCAGCCACTGGACTTCCTTCTGAAACCAACAACTGAGCGTGAGGTTCTAAAATAGTTGAAGCAGGTTTACAAGTGTCCATACTTGCCATTTTAAGAAGTGATCTTGCATACTTAGACTGATCAATAAACATACTACCTCTTCCTAGTATTGAATCTGTAACTTAAGAAAATATGCCAACACTTGACTATATCCTTCAAATCAAAGAGTTCACCAAGCTAAGTTATAATTATTTGAAGCCAAAATTTTGCCTGACGAATTGTACTTTGCCCTACAAATAATTCCATTGTATAAAAGATTTTGAGTAAACTCTAAATATTGACCAGTTTTACCGTACCAACTAAAAAATACGTCGAGTAAAGTTCCATCACCAGACAAAAACGTGTTCGTTGGGCAAAATTTTGTAGGCCAGGCCCTAAATTCTGGTAATGATATATAGGCCATTGTTTGCTAGCTAGTAAATTAAGCAATTGGGAAACATGGTGATGTTAGAATTTCAATCTAACACCAACCCATGGAGGTCGAATAATGAGAACACGTTTTTGGGTTTGCGCATCGGATTATGATTCTCTTCCCTCTTATTATCATCATCATCCCTCATCTCCTTTCACACTTTTTTTTTTGTCTTTTTCTCTATATAAAAAATTCAAAACAAAATGTTGGCATGGCTTAATCGTAACCATTTCAATAGGAGAGAAGGGAAGAATAGATAGATTAAGAGGAGAGAGAATCCTAGTCCTTAGGCATAACATATATGACAATATGTGCATGCCTGAGATTAGTATATAGTTTATGAAATGTTGAACCCCGATAATGCTTATTAATTAAAGGAATAAAAAAGCTAAATGATGAACAGACATTTTTTTTTATGTATGATAAAGTTTTATATATATGGCTGAAATACAAGTCGGTACATTTTGTTCATATCCCAATATGTGTATATCGGCTTGTGTTTTGGAAAAAAAATAGATTTAGGGGGTAGCTAGGGAGATTAAATTTGTAGACTAAATTTTGTAAACTAAATGACATGGAAGTTGATGATTTGATTATTACTTAAGTGTTGATTAACGTGCTTATTTCTTATTGATGACACATCATTTAGTTTGCAAATTTAGTCTACAAATTTCTTCTACGTAGTATTACTCTTAATGTATTTAGAGAAATGCTTAAGACAGGTACTGCTAGGGAAACAAAATTTGTAAACTAAATAATGTATCACCAATATGAATGAGCACGTTTATAAATGCTTAATTAATAATTCAATCATCAATTTCCATGTTATTTAGTTTACAAATTTTTGTCTATAAATTTAATCTCTCTAGCATTACTCTCTCAAAAGTGGGACTCTCCATGGATTCTCTACCACCTTATAGTTTAACCTTAATTATAGTGCCAACTTTATAGAACATTGTGCCCAAAACATGAGGTGTCAGAGAGTTCATAGAGAGTTCCACTTTTGAGAGAGTTTCCTTAGACTCTTTCTCATATATATTACAACAACATAAAAATGAGAGATTATGTTAAGTCAAACAATAAATCTATTATAAATTAATTTCACTTTTGGTGGTACGTAGTGTTCCACTTTTGAGAGAGTTCCACTTTTGGTGGTCCTTTCCAGTGTTCGCCCTTAGTGGCGATGTTGCTCACTTTCTTCATGCCGGCTTCCTTTGTTTCGTGACGACGATCAGTATGGTGGTCCCTGGTAGATGATGCGTTCTTCTTTTTCATCAATTATAGGATTCTTCCAGGCGTGATCTCAAGCAATGGTGGAGGGCGACGGATCGTGGTAATCATTGTAGGGCTTTTTGTTGGTGTCGATTGCAGGCACAAGAGGAGCTATATATTTGGGTTTCATTGTTCTGTTTTTTGTGGGGGATGGGCTCCAAAGCTAGCTTTGGGCCTTGTCCTCCGTGTTTTGTTGCCCTTCTTCTTTTTGGTGGCTAATCTTGTATTAGGGCTTTTGTTTGTTCTTGTTGTGTTGTCTGTTAGTAATGAAATTTACCCTTTGTCCAAAAAAATAAAAAATAAAAAAAATAAAAATAAAAAAAATAAAAATAAAAAAACTCTTTTTTTTTTTCAAATGGAGAAAGATTAGGTGAAATTAGTTCTTTAGTCATGGTCGCATGCGAGGCTCCTACCCTCTCTCGAAGGCATGAGAACCATTACAGCCAAAAACCCCTCGCATGTCCCTTCTCCACCAATTTTATTGATAATAAATGAAAATAAGCAAAAAAGATACAAGTTGGGGGACTAAGCCAACCGTTCATGTTCAATGTAAAAAAAAACACTAATAAATCTTGGGGAGTGCTATCCACGCACTCATTTTTATTTCTCACACACCTCTTTTAATTTTTTGATATCGTATCAAATGAATTGAAGAATATTAATGAAAAAAAATTAACAAAGGTGTATAAAAGATAAAAGTAAATGCGTGAATAGCACTATTAAATCTTAATGCTAGCTAGGTAGTGGCGGACTTAATTTAGAACCATGCATAAATGGACCATTACGCAATGAATATAGGACGGCCTTAAGATTTTTCTTCCATAAATTACAAATTTATATTAATTTGGCCTACCAACCCACAGTTATCCTACACGTTGAATCTCCTTCCCTCTCTTCTATTATGCAGGATATATAATTATATATTGTATAATCATCCGGTGAGTAGACCACTTAGCTAATCAGTGTATAATTAAGGAATGTGATATCCACACACCTTATTTTACTTCTCATATTTTTTTAATTTTTGATCGTTGGATCGGATGAATTGAAGAATATCAACGGACAAAAATTATCAAGGGTGTGTGAGAAGTAAAATGGAATGTGTGGATAGCACATCCCATAATTAATGGCTTGTGATTTCAACACATTGTTATTTTGTTTACACCCTTTGTTAATCCTGAATATTAATTTGTGTTACTTGTTCAATCTAACGACTATAAAACTGGAAGTGTATATCATGTGATAAAGGTGTGTGAAAACACTACCCTAATTAATACAATCAAATGTACAATATTCAAATGTCATGAAAGAACACATCAATTTTTGATATCCTATCTGATACCGTATATATTGATTATCCTATAATATTAGTGTCACATCCCGGCTCAGGCTCCCATCACAACCCAGGCCCGCTCCACTACCGTAGCACGATATTGTCCGCTTTGGGCTTGCCCGGGACTGATCACTTCTCGGGCCCGCTCCACCACCGTAGCACGATATTGTCCGTTTTGGGCCCCTAGCACACCCTCACAGTTTTGTTTCTGGGAACTCACGAGCAACTTCCCAATGGGTCACCCATCATGGGATTGCTCTAGCCCCCTTCTCGCTTAACTTCGGAGTTCCTACGGAACCCAAAGCCAACGAGCTCCCAAAAGGCCTCGTGCTAGGTAGGGATGAGAATATACATTTAAAGATCTCTCCCTTGGGCAATGTGGGATGTTACAATTAGACCATTAAAAATGAACAACTAATATTGTTCTTTGTATTTGTTGACTCTAAAAATTACAAAACCTACGTGGCGCGCAGGC